TGGAGCTGAGGGTTGGATCTTTGTTATGTAGAATAGACTGGTCTAATCTTTTTTAATGGTCCATTAACAATGGTGGGGCTACTAAGAGGCTGTTTCCTGACTAAAAACATGTTTCTCCATTTCTTATCGACGGAAATATAACAGCCAGCCTTTTCAATATTTCCCAGGATATTTCATTTTTCTACGAGAGGGGTGGTTGCTAACTTCCTACACTAGGGAGGGTTACCCAAATAATGCATAGAGGAATGATAGAGAAAATCCAGAAAAAAAAGATATAATACATATAAAATAAAAAAAGGAACTCGAGTAGGGGATAGAAGGATAGAGAAAAGGACACTTTCACAGTATTTTTGAACTAGATTTCAGGTAATCCCTTTTTTTTTTTTTTTTTTGAGGAGGGGTAAAATCTTACTTTTCTCCATTTTGTCGGATTCAACCTGGTCTCAATTGGAACTGAAAGGCACCATATGCATACAGATAAAAATCTATAGAGAATGTTTGGGTCAGTGGTTAGAATGCAGTACTATAGGCTAATTGCTCACAGACAGGAGTTTGATTCTGGCAGGCTCATGGTTGATTCAGCTTTCATCCTTCTGAGGTGGGTAAAATGAGGACCCAGATCGCTGGGGAGCATATGATGATTTTGTAAACTGCTCAGAGAGTGCTGTAAAACATTGTGAAATGGTATATAAGTCTAAGTGGAATTGCTATTGCTATATAGTTTCTCCCAAGCATGGATCCTTTGATGAGAAGTAAGATTACTATTCTGAGCAAACTCTTTCCACATTCCCTGCATTTATATGGTTTCTCTCCTGTGTGGGTTTTGTTATGGCAAGTAAGACCATACTTTCCACACTTCATGTGTTTATATGGCTTCTGCCCTGTGTGGATCATCTTATGTAAAATAAGATTACTTTTTCGAGCAAAGGTCTTTCCATACTCCATGCATTTAAATGGCTTCTCCCCTTGCTGTTCTCTTTTTGTACTGTTAGGTAGCTGCTATAAGCAAAAGTCTTTCCACATCCCATGCATTTATATGTGTAGATCCTCTTATGGGATATAAGATTACCTCTTCCAGCAAAGGTCTTTTAACACTCCATGCATTTAAATGGCTTCTCCCCTACGTAGATCATCTTATGGGAAATAAGATGACCACTTTGAGTAAATGTCTTTCCACAATCCATGCATTTATACAGCTTCTCCCCTGTGTGGATCATTTTATGGCGAATAAAACTACTTCCTTGAGCAAAGGACTGGTGGCTCACTACCTCCTTGGAACCGAAATCCCAGCAGGGTAGGGACTGGACACTAAAACATAAGAACAGCTGCAGGAACTGGGTATGTCTAGTTTAATGAAAAAAAGGACTAGGGGAGACATGATAGCAGTGTTCCAATATCTCAGGGGTTGCCACAAAGAAGANGGAAAGAGGAGCGCGTCTGAGGGGAGGGGAGAGGCCGGGTGTGATGGGCTTGGAAGTAGGGGGAAAGGCCCCTCTCAAGAGGTCCCTGCCCATCACCGCCATCCTGGACAAAAAGAAAAAAGAAAACCAGTTCCAAAATGGAGGAAAACTTGAAATCTCTGGATATTCCGAAAATTTTACCTCATAACGAGGCTCTTTAATTGAGAAACGAAGAGGGGAAATGGGGTTTTCATCTCTGAGTGGTGGAGTCATAAAATTAAGAAAGGAAGATGGTGGAAAAGGAATATCAGTCTAAACTATGATGGGGAAAAATCATTTTTACATAGAGATTGAGTAGGAAATTCACCTCAAGAAATGGGACTAGGAAGCTTAAGCCCTTTGGAGAATTTAAGGCAGGGATATATCATTAGACCATAAATAAGAAGAGAAAATGAAAAGATTCCATCACGTTTGGCGTCGAAAATGACATACAAAGAGTTTAGCTACAGTGAGCGAAACAAGGAATTTAAAAGGATGGAAAAGGGGTTAAAATTCATTTAAAAACAAGGGAAGTAACCTTTGAATTTTACGTATCATTTTTTTCCACTGCAGTTTGACACAGAAAGTTTAAGAATAAATACTTTTTAAAAATTGTCCAGAGATTTAAAACAGCGGCTAAGTGACACTTGTAATATGAAGGGAGGGAAAAGAAAGGGAGAAAAAACAGTGACTGCCCAAGAAGATTGTGCTAAGATAATTTGCACCGGAAACATTTAAAACAACAAAAGGGAAAGACATGGAGAAAACAGGACATTTTTCACTGAGTGGATTTGGAACTTTTGGCTTTTGAAAACTTTGACAATTTATTGATTTGACTGTCTTTGGGATCGTAAAAGCCATCTACTGGAGGAAAGAAAGTACAGCAACATCTAGAAACGAAGTACAGTGGAAAAACTCAATCTTAAATGCAGGAAAGATAAGTGGAAGATTTTCTAAGGAGTGTACAGTCATTTCTTGTACGACTGAGAAAGAAAGTTAAAAACCTTGAAAAGAGCTGCTTTACTTTGGAATTGGATACTACAGCTGGGAAAATTCGGATATAAGAGGGAGACTTAATTAAGCGTGGTAAAATATAAAAACATTAAAAACTTGTCAAATTTGAAGATGGAGTGTGGGATGTATGAAGAGTTACTCGAAATGTTAAAAAATGCACGTAAAACACTAAAAGGTATTAAAGAACCAGAAAAATCACCACATGGTTTGAGGTCCTGAACAGAAAAGGGGGATCGCGGGAAGAAGGCGGGGCTTAGCAGTGAGAAGATGGAGTTTCAGGCTGTTCCTGAAATTCCTCTACACCGAAGGATTTTTGGACGGGTCTTCGGACTCTAGCTGCCCCGTAGACGGCAGTGAAAGGGAAAGGGAGCCCCCGGCCCCCCAGAGCCGTTCGCAAGTCTCTGGGGGGGGGGGTATTAACCCTTCTTGCCAACTCCTTGTCGGATTAGCTGAATTGCTAACTGAAACTGC